GACTATTAAGGCATCTCCCATATAGATAAAGGATCGGGAGGTGAAGTAATTGCATGGTAGGGAGATTTCCTTGGTGAAGGCATTATGGGGAGGACCAGCTAGTGGAAGCATAACTTGGGAGTTGGAGAGTCAAATGTGAGAGTCGTATCTGACTCTATTTCCTTCAGATAATTTTATAGGGTGAAAATTTTCTAAGTGGGGGGAGTTGTAACACCCCAAATTTGAATAATTTATTTAATTGAATTATAAAAAAAATTAATTTAATCAGTTGGTGTGCTTTTAAATAAAACAATGTGATTATATGTGTTGTTGGGGGTGTAGTGGTAATGGTAAGGTGTGGTAAGAATGTAGTAGATTGATAGAATATTTAGAAATTAAAATAATTAGTATTTTTAATTAATAATAGAAATAAATTGAGAAATTGGTAAAAAAATAAGGAATTAGGTCAATTGTTTGATTTGAGGGACATATGAGGTAAGAGGAGAAAAGTTGGAAATTAGTCGGGGTAATAATAATAATTAGAAAAAAAATAATTAAAATTATATATATTCTAAAAGTTGGAGAAAATTAGGTTTTTAGGGAACCTTTAGTCAGTACGTGAAAACATTGAGGCTTAGAGAAAACAAGAGCATTTGGAAGGAGAACTAAGTTTTGAAGGGAAAATCCATAGGAGCTGCTTGATTTGCTATTGTTGTTGAAAATATAAGGTGAGGGAGGGAGAAAGGGATCTCAAATGAGTGTAACTAATGATGGTATAGAGAAGAGAGGTCCTTGCTCTCATTAAGGTTCCATGATTTTGATTTGATGAATGGTTGTTATGTTAGAAATATGAATTTGATGATTGATTGTGTCTATGTATGTGATTTGGTGACTAGAATTATGTTTGTATTATCATGATTATGCATGTATAAAATTCCACCATTGATGAATGTTTGAGTGCTTGCTGTCATACCCCAAATTTTGACCCCATCCATCTCAGTATCTTGAGTCCACGGTTTGTATTAGGGTAGGTCCAATGCATGGGTGTCGTGGGCCAGTCTAAATTCACCTGAGTTATCATTGAAGGGAAGTATGTGATCCAAAACGCAGCGGAAAATAAAATTTTTCGTTTAGTGATTCTTACGAATGATCATGATCAGTTATAGAACGGTTACCTCTTGTGGCGATGAAACCTTTGATTATGAATCGAAGAAGTGATCACAAATGATGTATGATGAACAGTGCCTCTACTCAGTCCACACGAACATATTCCTTCAATCTCAGTGCTAGCTACTACGATTGAAGGTTTTGAGTTAGAGAAAGAGAAGGAAAATACAGCTAGGGTTTCACAATCCGAATTTTCATCAAGTGTAAATATTACTCTTAATATTCATACCTATATTACTCAAGTGTAAATAGTACTCTCATAGGAGATCAATCCATTATAAATATTACTCCTAATATTCATACCTATATTAAGACTTGATAACTCCTTATTTGTGATTCATGAGATATAATCATCAGTCTATCTACATAATAGTCTTAATGCTTTAAGGTTATCCCACTTAACAGTAAAGCTCGACTATAAATACTTTAAGAATAATGTTCTTATGTTTAATGAGATCTCATGATTAAGTCACACTTAATATTTCATTAAACGAACCAGCTATTATAGATACTTTATTATTTTGGAAAAACAACCATAATAAAGAAATATCTTTTATTAATAATAAGTAACAAGTACCAAAAGTATTGGCCTTTAGGGCTTACACCAACAATCATCTGAGGCCATGTCCAATCTAAGTCCATTTGAGTCCATACTTTGCATGAGCATAGGTCATATGCATTTAAGTCTTTAATCAGTTTCATTTCATAAGAGTCACCATTGTCATTTGAAGCATGGTACTTCATCTTAATCCATCATCTGGGGGTCAAATGGTCAACTTCAATGACCTAAAAGTCGAAAGAGGACCATTTTGAATTTTGATATTTTTATCATTAGTTCATTCCATCTTTTACTATTTATTTTTTAGTTATATTATTATTATTATTATTATTATTATTATTATTATTATTATTATTATTATTATTTTACTATATTTTTGTTCATTAAATTATTATTTTCTTTTATAGGTTTATTAGTATTATTATTTTTATTTACTAAATATTATGGTTACTTTTATTTTTATTTTTTTCTATTATCATTTTCTTTTTTATTAGTCCATTAATAATATTATTTTTATAGTCTTTTAATATTAGTTTATTAAGTATTATTATTACTATTAGGTCCTTTTAAACTTCGTTATTATATTGATACTATTTTCTCATTAGTTTTGTTATCATTTTTTAGTAAGGATTATTAACTTCAGCATCTTCTTATTAATATTATATTTCTATTATTTGTATTATTTTTATTTTATTTTCTTAGTCCGGTCAACAACCTAAAGTTAAGGTCAATGAAAGCCTAAAGCAAGGGAAAACCTTAAATTGGTAAATAGTGTTGCAAAAATGGATCAAACTGAATCCAAAGGAAAAACCAAATCTTTTCATTGATGTGTAGTTTCTATTACGATTTAAAACTTGTACAAATTGAATCAAATCACAATCTAACATAAAGCTTCCTAATTTGAAACAATCTAACTTAATTCTAAACCCTAATTTTAACTATAAATAACAGAAAAATTTACAATGATTTGCATCCACGGTTTGCAAATTACAAATTCTTAAATTATTGTTTTGCACAGTGTAGAACAACAACACTAAAAAACCCTAAAGCTCCATAAGATTTCCATAGCTAGACCTCACAACAACCACAAAGAAAGGGAGTTAGAGAGAGAAAGAAGAAAAAAGGAAAAAGGAAAAGATAAAAGACAAAGACTTACCATTGTTTCTGTTGTGATTCTGTTGTTGTTAGGGTTTCATTTGGTTTGCTTAATGTGTTCAAGATGGGACGTTTGAGGTCTAGTTTGGGTTAGGTTGAGGTTAATCAGAGTTGAATTTTGGGTTAGGATTTGGAGGATTGGAGTTTGAATTGTTGTTTTTGGATTATTGAGTTGCATTTAAGAGGTTTAGATTTATTAGTTAGGGATTGATGTGGGGCTGATTTGGGTGGTTCAGATGTAGTTTAAGCTTAAATTGGGGTTCTTTAAAGGGTTAGGGTTTTTAAAGTTAGGCTTAAGGCTCTTTGTATGAGGGTTATGGTTCTTGTTATGGGTCTGAGTTTGAAGGTTTAGGGTTAGGGTTTTTGGAAGATTGTAAAGGTTTATCTGGGTGTGGTTAGGGTTCCCGGGGTTTATGATTTTCTGGGTAGGATTCTTAAAAGTGGATGAATATCTGAGCTTGGTACTTACCAATTGATAAACACCGTCAGAATCATCAATAAAGGGAACTCAGATACAAACTATTATTGACGAATCAAATGCGATTGATGAGAATTTTGAAGAACTTGTAGTAGAAGAAAAAGAGGAAGAGGAAACCCTATAACCGAATGAAAATCGTCCTATTCATGCAGAACCTGAAACCAAAATCATGGAGCACCGAAAGCTTTGGGTGGATGTGCTGAGTGAGAATCGGAATCCAAGGAAAGGGTTAACGATGAAGTATGTTGCACCAAGCTTGATTAATGGAGAAATGGAAATTGAGATAGAGGAGGAAGACATTGCCACGGAAGTGAAGTTTCAGGATACGACTTTAATCTTGTATGCTTTGGGGGAGGATCCCAGTATGAACACGATGAAAAACTACATGGAAAAGATGTGGAATTTCATCAAGCTGCCAGATATATATTACCATGACGAAGGCTATTTCATACTACAGTTTCAATCTCACACAGACATGGATGCAATATTGATGAAAGGGCCTTATACTATCAGAAATATGCCTTTGCTATTGAAGAAGTGAAAACATGGTTTTAATCTGAAAAGGGACATGTTGTGAACCCTTCCACTGTGGGCTAAGGCTAATATGACAAGAGAGAAATTCAAGATGTATGACAAATATATTGATAATTACCAATATCATGATAATGGAAGAATTTGGATTTCTTGGGATGATAGGAGAGTGAATATTCAATATGTTAGAAGTTCTGACCAATATATTCATTGTGGTATATATGATAAGTTTGACAAATTTAAATACTTGCTGACAACAATCTATGCTAAGAATCAGTTAGAGCATAGAAGAGTGTTGTGGAAGGATTTAGAGAGTTTGCATAGAAATCAGCAGGGTCCTTGGTGTGCTCTTGGAGATTTCAATAATGTGGCTAGAGCTCATGATAAAATAGGTGGTAGGATGTTTACTGAGGCAGAGTATTGTAATATGTTATCCATGATGGATACTATAAGGCTGAATGAAATAGATAGCATATGGGATTATTACACTTGGAGTAATAAGCATAATAATGGTATTATTTACTCTATGATTGATAGAGTTTTAGGTAATGTGGCTTGGCTTTAGGATAATTTGGATAATCAATTAAAGATCCCCTCTCCAAATGTTTCAGACCATGCATTGTTATGTATGGAAGGAAAGAGTCTAATTGTGGTTAATAAAAAGAGGTTTAAGTTCTATAATTGTGTGGTGGATATGGCAGGGTATGATGATGTGGTGAGAAATAGTTGGAATAAGCCCATCAGTGGCAGCCCTATGTATATTCTGTGGCATAAGCTTCAAAGGTTAAAGCTTGATCTAATCCAGCTTAGCAGAATTATGTTTAATGTGAGACAACAGTTGGTGAAAGCTAGAAGTGATTTGTAGGAAGCTCAAAAGGCTACCATTCAGAATAGGATGGATAATAATTTGATAGAGAATGTTAAAAGATGTATTGATAATGTCATAAAGTGGAATGATCTAGAGGAAAGTATGCTTATGCAAAAAGGAAAGGTGGAGTGGCTTAGAAAGGGTGATCAGAACAATGCATTTTTTCATGCTACCATCAAAACCAAACATCAAAACAAAAGCATGAGTTTCTCCATAAAGCAGACGAGACTGTAATCAGTGACAAAAAGGAGATCTAGCATCAAATGATGAATTTTTACAGAAATTTAATGCGTAGTAAAGCCAATTCTTTAAAGCACATTGATATTGAAGCTATGAAGGAGGGCCACCAATTCACTATAGACCAAGGGAAGATTCTTACTGCTAAAGTTTTTGATGAAGAGATTGTAAAAGCATTACAGGGTATTGGTGGTTTGAAGAGTCCTAGAATTGATGGGTATAGGGCTAAGTTTTTTAAAGCTAGCTGACAAATCATCAAAACAGACATTATAGCTGCTATTCAAGAGTTTTTTGAGAAAGGTACTATGTTTAAAGCTTTTAATAGTACAATTTTGACTTATTCCTAAATCTGACAATGCTAAAAGTGTGAAGGACTTTAGACCTATATCAGGCTGCACTACCTTCTATAAAGTCATTTCCAAAATTATGACTAATAGGTTATGTAGTATGTTACAGCAGGTTGTGCATCAGAGCCCGACATCATTTATTCCTAGGCAAATTATTCATAATTATATCCTGCTGGCTTTTGAATTGATGAAAGGCTATTCAAGAAAGGGGGAAACCCTAGATGTATGATGCATTTAGATTTTCAAAAGGCTTATGATATGGTGGATTTGAATACTTTGGAGGGAGTTCTAAAGGAAATAGGTTTTCCTAATCAGTTTTTTTTGATTGGATTATGAAGGTGACCTCAACTGTTAGCTACAGATTTAACATTAATGGGGAGCTCTCCGAAGTTTTGTAAGCTAAAAGAGGTATTAGGATAGGAGACCCCATCTCCCTCTTTCTATTTGTTCATACGATGGAATACATAAATAGAATCATGGTGAAGATGCAGAAGAATCTCAATTTTAATCACCATAGTAAGTGTGAAAAATTGGGAATAACACATCTGTCCTTTGCATATGATGTTCTTTTGTTTTGTCGTGGTGATAAACAATCCATTGAACTCATCCTTGAAGCTTTCCATATATTATCTGATTCCACAAGTCTGAAGGTTAATCCTAATAAATGTAAACTAATATGTGGTGGTATGGATGATGGATTAATTCATGAGGTGAAAAATTATATTGGTTTTGAGGAAGGTCAATTACCTGTTAGATATTTAGGAGTTCCTTTGTCTAGTAAAAAGCTGAACTTGAATCATTATTTGCCAATGGTGGAAAGAATAGTGGGTAGAATCAAGCACCGGACTTCCAAGTTGCTTAGTATTGCTGGGAGAATTCAGCTAGTGAAAAGTATTGCCCTAGCCATTGCTCAATATTGGATGAGCTGTTTGCCCATCTCTAAAATGGTTATCCACAAAATTGATTCAATTTGTAGATCCTTTATTTGGACTGGTCAAGCTGACATAAGTAGAAAAAACTCCGTGGCTTGGCAGAAAGTTTGTAGACCTGCTAATCAAGGTGGCTTGAATGTGCTAAACATTGAAAACTGGAATAGTGTAGCTTTACTTAAATGTCTTTGAAATATTAGTCTTAAAGGTGACAACCTCTGGGTAAAATGGTGCATGCTTATTACTTAAAAGGGAGAAATGCTCTGAGGGCTCCTACTGGTGACAATAACTCTTAGATCCTTAAGAAGATCACGAATCAAAGGAATGATGTGAGTAGTATACAACAACTCTGGGATGACATGTTGAAGAAGCATAAGTTCTTTATGATGAAAGTGTATTTAGAGCTGCTTGCTGATAATAGTAGGGCTAAATGGTATCAATTGCTGAGACATAATAAAGCAAGACCAAGAGCTAATCTTATCCTATGGTTAGCTTGTCAAGATAGGTTGGCTACAAAAACTAGATTGATGAAATTAGGGATGATATAAAGTACTATGTGCATACTGTGCAAGAAAAAAGATGAAAATGTGGACCGTTTGCTGTTTGAATGTAAAGTCACTAATCCTATCTGGACAGAGGTTTTTATCATGGCTGGAGATGAACCATAAGGTCCTAAAATGGAAGGATGAGCTTAGTTGGATATTGATACACACAAAAGAGAAAGGCTGGAAATCTGGCATGCTGAAGATGGTTACAGCTGAGATTGTTTATGGAATTTGGCACTATAGAAATAGAGTTACTTTTGATAATCAGAATGAGGATATTAGTGTGTCTAGAAGCATTATTGACAACATTGTGTATAGAGGTTGACAATATGCTAAGTATAGAAATCACATGGCTAATATGTTAATGTAATTGGTGCGCGTGAGTTTGTCTTTTTAGTCGACTTGTTTGAACTGATCTGCGTGATCGCCTTGTACCGTTGTAGTTTTTTTTTGAGATTTATATATTTTTTTTTATTAAAAAAAAATCAATTTGATCTCTTTTAAAATTAAGGGATCAAAATAGATCCCTAAATAAAATTAGAGGAAAAAAGAAATTTTGCGTATTATTTTTAAGTACCTTTAACTTAAGATAAATTAATGCATATTTTAAAAATTTAAAACTAAGGAAGTGTTTAGTGTTGACGCCAGTAATTTCCCCAAATAAACCCTCTTTCCCAATCCCACAAAAGAAAGGTCCGAACCGGGTCGAGAAAAAAACCAACGGAAATGTGATATGAACTATGAAAACGGGCAGCACCGACCGCCTTAACGGAACCACGATCTCTGACAATTCTCACTCCGTCAGATCTCGCTCGTTCTTCCTAATCTTCCGAAGAACGAGCACAACAGTATATCCGAACTCCGATTCCAAAACCCTAGAATCAAACGTTCCCGTCCGATATCAGGTTCCAATCACCGGATACAGTTTCTTGCATTTTCCGAGCGTCCTCTTCAGCTGTCACAGCAAATGCGGTACTTCGTTTCTCAACCTGATCGATCTGTTTCCACATTTGGCTTCGATTTCGGAGTGTGATCGTTTGTGAGGTTTTAGTTGACTTTCATGCTGTTTGAAGAAATTTGCGAGTTAGTTGTTTTAGAAGTGAGAAATGCAGCGTGCTCCAGTTACAGTTGAGGAACAGTTGTTGCATAAAGCGATTAACGAAGAGTGTCCATGGGAGAATCTACCGAAGCGGATTCAAGCTACTCTTTCTACCAAAGACGAATGGCACCGAAGGTTAGCGTTGCTTCCAATTCTTTTAAGCAGATTATTTGTAATGATTGAGTTTTAGTAAGTAGTAGTTATCCAAATTAAGTTGAAGATATTTGAGGAGTGAACACTCTTTGTTCCAATGAGTTGTAGTGGAAAATGAAGAATGATACTGGTTTGAGTTTAGAGCTTCCGGAGCTATTGAGATAGCATTTCTCTGTTGGTCAAATAGACCGGAGAAGTTTTTGTCGTGACTTGTGTATTTTTTGTAATTATTTGTTGATGCTGTTGTCTTGTGTTATATAAACCTCTCTTTTTGTAAGAACTGTACTTGTGTATACTGTTATTTTCTGTAAGATGTTTAAATATATCCTTCAAAATGTGCAACTCAATGTTATTGGGCTCTTTTCATCGTTTATGTGCCCGGTTGTTAGGTGGTTTTACTGTTACACTTGGCTTTGCATGGTATATCAATGCAACTAAGGTACTGAGCTAGCTACTAAAAAATGAGGCTTTTCTTGTGTAATGAGATGCATTAGAGTTACTGTATTGCGCACAACCCTTTAGGGTAGGTTTGGAAGAAGGATTTTTGAGGGCTACTACTATATATTTTGGTATATAATTGAGTTCTTTTTTTGATTGAAAGAGTAACATGATCAGTGATCGTATAACATTTTAATCACACTTAATTTTTTTTTTTTGAAACATTTTATTACTTCAATTTAGAAAAGAAAAATAAGCATCCCTTCCAAATCTACCCATTCAAGCATACCCTTAATCTTCAAGTATGTGGTCTTATGCCATCTTAATTATTTCAGATGGATTGGTGATCTAGTGAAAGATCAAATCTCTAACACCATGATCACTAGTCACAACCTAATCTTAGCAATTGTGATTGGTTCTAGAGTACCTGCCGAGTTTCAAACCTACCAAACATATCTCTTAGATAACTGTAGTGCCGAGTTTCAAACATATCTCTTAGATAACTGTAGAATAGAATGAATTTGCACTTGAATGAGGTAACTTTTGATTTTGAGAGGCTATAGTGTATTCAACAAGAAAATTTAAGAAACGATAACATTTGAGAGATAATTCTCAATTAGAAATAGTATTTTAGTTTGTATAATTTAGTATATATCTACACTGCTCTATATTCTGCTTATTTCAAGGCTATTTTGTTAATGCCTTGGAAATAAGTTTTTTAGACACATATTCTTAATATGCTTTTTCTTTTTTCCGGATATGGGAATTACATGCAGGATAATCGAATGCTGTATAAAGAAGAGGCTTCAATGGAATAGCTGTTTTGCCCGGAAAGTTTGTAAAGAAAGTGAATATTATGAAGATATGATGCGGTACTTGCGGAGGAATCTTGCTGTATGTCGTTTAGAGAGGGCTCTGTGACCTTTATTTCTGAGCATATATATCAAATACATTCTTCAATGATCAGAAAACTTTGATGCTAGGAAATTTTTGGGAGAAAATTTAAGTTTTAACGCTTCACAACCAAATTTGGAATTAAAAACTTGTCTCTGGTTCTCTTTTGCCATAGGATTAGTTTTTATGAGTAATAAATAAACTAACCATATTATTTTTTTCTATCACAAAGAACTCATGCAATTTCGCATCCTCAATGAATGACATTTGTAACTGCTAGAGGACCACTGTCTGGATGCTGGGCAGTGACGTTATGATTTGATTTTTGTTGCTTGGCATATGCATTTAATGTGCTTGTTTCTTGCTTGCAGCTGTTTCCTTATCATCTGGCAGAGTATGTTTGCCGTGTAATGAGGGTGTCTCCTTTCAGATATTATTGTGATATGATTTTTGAAGTAATGAGAAACGGTAAGTTTCTTGTTGCATTTCTATGTATATTCACCATACTGGTCTGGATTTATTAACCAGGTTTCTCTAATGGTAACTTGCTTGTTGCATAGTATTTGTATGAATATTTTTTACTGTGAGTTCATCTGCAACTTAAATGATTCTAACCAGAAGAGTTAGCTAGCCATTTACATTATTCTTGAATTGAAATTTGTTTATGTAATAAAAAATTACGGATTGAGAGTGAGACATATCTAATGTAATGCTGATCTGTGAAAACTTTCTAAAGGAAATGCCTATTGAAATTGTGGAATTTTAGATAAAAAAAAAGGATAAAAATTATAACAATTTGAATGTTATTGATAATAATTTGATGCTAAACTTGATGCAAAAGACTAAACACTAGTCCCTATTTAATGGGATACATAGACTTGATTTTAACTAAATAGAGAAATTAGGAAACAGATCATAACAATACAACAACCAAGCCTTATCCCACTAAGTGAGGCCGGCTACATGGATCAAATACCATACTTTTGTCCAGTTCGTTCATTAATCTTGAGATCTTTCTTGATAGTTTTTCATAAGTTTTTCCAGGTCTTCCTCTACCTTTAGCGGTTTGACTACCTTCCTTTTGATCTACTCTCCTTACTATAGAATCCACTTGACTTCTCCCTACATGCCCAAACCATAACAATAACTAATCTTAAAAGATGATCTAATATACTCTAAAATAGTATAACAGATATAATAAGATATTTTTCTAATATTTAACCATATCTATTAATGAGGTAGGCGTTTACAACAACAGTACAACAAACATTCTTTTTATCCTAGAGTAAATTGGGATTTGGGCAGGAATGTTTGTGCTATAGGTTGAAATTTAATTAGTTGTGGCAGTAGTGAGTACATATGGCGCAGCAGAAAGCTAAATCACGTGTGTTGAAAGTTGGGTATGAAGAAGTGATTAAAATGCTTGAGAGTTAAGAGTATACTACAATATCTATTGAACCTGATGCGGATCCACTTGAAATATAGAGAATGAATTCATCTGAGTTGCTCGAGAGGCTAAACCCTCAGCCTTGTGTAGTTACAATTAAGATCTCCAAATTATAGGGATAAGAATAAGAGTTAATATCAGAAAGATGTAAACATAATATCTACATAATATGAATAAAGGAAAGTAAATCAGGACCAAATTAGCGTGCTTGAAAATTGATAGCGGGACAGAGTCAACTGATCCGTGGGACAAGGTGAGATTGGGTCTTGATAGAGGAGGAGGCGATGAATCAAATGGGGACAATGGTGACCTGAAATGTTTGGGGAGACGCACCCTCAAGTGTTGGTAAGCTAACAAAAATGCTATATTGGTACCTCCGTGCCGGTTAATCTAGACATGCCGTAGCTGATGGAAGTGGCATGAGCTGTGAGGTGTCACACACATTGACAAGAGAGATGACAGAGGAGGGATAGGTGTGGTGGAGATAGGGAGAAGGTGCGAGATGGAGAATGTGACCAGATAGATGATGACTAGAAGGAATGGAATAGTCCTGGAAACAATGTTACTCCATACTTCAGAGTCAAGTGCAGTTGTGTTATTGAGGATGGTATCCCTTGAAACTATAAGTTTTTTGGATGGAGAGGAACGGAATTAAGACATATGGACTGAATGATTTGAAATTGATATTGATATGATGTTGTTAGAAGCATTTTTATGAAATATGAATAAGGTACTGATCCTTATTTATACTAATATTAGGACACCTAATTAAATAAAATAAACAATGAAATATAATAAAATGTGGAAACCAATTGTATGAGATCATCTAAGATGCTCATAATTCTTAAATATTATGATGCAGCAGTAATAATACTACCTGTGACCCTACATGTAACACTCATTTGATAAATTAATACAAAATTAAGAATTATGGTTATTTGTGCTGTAACCTTAAATTTGTCAACAATTTGTATTATGTTTCCATAATTACATTATGGTTATTGGTGGGGGTGACTAATCAGGTCCTTTCCGCCCACCGTTCCATCAACCTGCTATAAACGGGTCAGGTTGACTTAGCAAGGTGGGTGGAAAATCCCACTTCGCTACATATTGGCAGATTAACCCGTGAATAAAAAAGAATAAAACAAAAACATATGGAAGGTATTGAGTTTTAGGATGGCTGTCCTGCAAAGAATAGTATAAAAATTAGGTAAAATATAAAAAATGCATATAATTAATAGATTAGTAAAAAAGAACCCCTTGAGCTATCCGCTCTGCCCCCTTTTTCATTGGGTTATGTGGTGGGTCAGGACAGGTTGACAATCCCAACCTGCTCTACCAAAAGACGGGGTAAACAGATAAACTCAATGTGTCCAACCCATTTTGCAACTACTCATTATCTCACTCTCCATGTAATTAATTATCCACATAATTAATTTGTTTTTAGATTTGTCACTCCACCTCGTTCGCAAATCCTCACGCGAGATGATGTAATTAAGCGTATTTTGGTAAAAAAAAATTACTTCAAGAGAGTTTGGAGAAGGTTATTAAAGGGACACATAAATTTTACAAAAAAAAAGGTCTTATATATAGGGACGGAAGAGAGTTTGGCAATATGTTTTTACATATTTCAACAGCTTATGCCATTGAGTCTGATGCTAGTTTACACATAATGGAGGTGTAGATGATGATACATTATTTGAATTTATTTAACTATTGATTGTTGTTTACATCACCACAATTTCTTAGTCTATTGGAATTTATAATTATTAAGAACTTGATCTTTTACTTGTACTGGCTTCCTTGTGTAATACATGTCTAACCACTTGCATGTTTTTATAATTTGCAGAGCAACCTTATGACAGCATCCCAAATTTTAGTGCAGCAGATGCTTTAAGACTTGCAGGAATTGGGAGAAATGAATTTATTGATATAATGAACAAGTGCAGATCTAAGGTACTGGCTAAATTGACTGCATGGCTTACCTAAAATATTTTTGGCTTGAATTTCCTATATAATTAATTATAAGATAATTTGCATGTCTTTGTTTCATTCCTTGAAATCATAGTACCAATAATACTTTCTAAGGTTTATTTTTTCTTGGCAGCAAGAATTTGGTTCTAGATATATTAAATCAAATTCGTTTATCGACCATCTAATTAATTTGACACTTCTGGAATTGACTTTGTTATGATCTACAAAAATTGTCATTTAGGTTTGTAGGCTAAGCAACAGACATTTTTGAAATCAAATTTTTAAGACATTACTTAGGAAGGTTCATTTGTATGTAATTTTTCATTGGTATTTGATGTGGAATAGGAAACCTGGATAATTAGGGAAGTAATAAAAGGAAAAACTGAACTTTTTAAAGAGAAGATATTTTGTAGAGAAGAGAGAAAGTTTTGAAGGAGAAAGATTGGTTCCCTTGTTACTACCATCACTTGTTTTGATCCGGCTTGCATTCCTGACAAATTTGAATTTGATTTCCTTGACTTGACCTGAGTTAGTCATGTCTGAAACTGGATAATGATTTCTTGAACATCATTGAATATAAATAGTTCATAAAGTTAGATTCTTATTGCATATAAAATTCTTCTGCCTTAAGATTTAGTTCAGATGTAATGCCTAGGTATGTTTGTATTTGTCCATTTATATAATGTAAATCTGCTGAGTGACTCGTAAGCAATTACATGTCTTTTTATGACATTTTAAATTGATTTCATGTCTTTTTTCTCTGACCTTTCATGTCCTATTTTTGAATATTCAGAAAATCATGTGGAAACTGAACAAATCAATTGCAAAAGAACTCTTGCCTACACAACCTGTAGATTTTCCTATTGAATCTTGGTGGGGAGTTTGTCTTGTGAACTTTACTTTGGAAGAATTTAAGGTGAAGCCTGAATCACCCTTACTAAATGGAGGCGGGTTCACTTACAATAATGTTTTTCACTATGTTAAATTGTCAATGCGAATTAATTATGGTATTCCCTTGGCGAATTATTTTTGTTAATCTTTTTTGCCTTGTTCTTTTCCTTTATAGAAACTCTCTGAAGAGGAAGTTGCCACTATAGACAAAATATGTAAGGAGGAAGCAAATTCATTTATCCTGTTTGATCCTAACGTTATAAAGGGTCTCTATAGACGTGGACTGATCTATTTTGATGTTCCAGTGTATCCCGAAGATCGGTTCAAAGGTGTGTTTTCTGTTAATGTTTAATTCTGTATTTTGACTTTCTAGGTTTTACTTTCCTAAAATCATTTTCCTAGGGATGATACCTAAGCCACTAAGTTGTCCCTAATGCATTATAATCTGAAGGCATGCCTTGGAGGAAATATATTCCAGCAAATCAGAGTTGTTGATCAATTCATTTTTGTCTGTTTAAACTTTTGAGGTACCTGTACTTTCACCGACCCAACTGATCATCCTGGTTCCCCTAAAATTAAAACTAAACTGTTTTGTTTATGGTTTCACAACTGAACTAAACCAAACTTTATCGGGTGTTGGTTTTTAGTTGATTAGTTTCAATACAGGTAATTTGTTCAGATTTCAGATGATAAAGGTACAATATAAGTAAAAAAAAACACAAAATTGATCAGTACTTTGAATCATGTGGGAAATGATAAACTAGGAACAGTCAACAAAAAGTAAAATAGGTGATTCACCACCCCTTAGTCGTTATAATAGAAGGGTGCTGTATGTTTTATGATTTTTGGTATTTCTTTCCAACTATATTATATGTTCAACATTTTAATTAAATCTTTATGTTTAAATGATTGAAGTGGTTTTTTTTTTTTTTAATATTTTTTTTAATATTTTATTTTATATTTATTGTGTTTCAGTTTCAAGGCTTGAAGGTTTTGTATCCAACAGGGAGCAGTCTTATGAAGATCCTATTGAAGAGTAGTGCATTTTGCTCAGCTTATTTTCATACATTTATTTCAAATATTGTTGCTAAAAAGTTTCTGGAAGTAACACGGTTTCTTTTTCTTCCAGGTTATTGTATGCAGTTTTTGTTGTTTCAAATGAAAATGCATCTGTTGCGGAATTGGCAACAACCCTACAGGCTGACCTGTCACAACTGCAGGCTGCTGCATCATTTGTATGTCGATTGGGATGGGCAACAAAAGTCATTGATCCATCATCTATTCTTCAAGATACAAGTATACCTGGGTCTCCAAGAAGTGCAGTTAGTGATGAAGATGTTTATCTTGCTAGTCATGGTTTTGACAATATCCATATTGATAATGATATTCAAGCGGATGCTTCAGGTTCAAGCAACCATGGTGCTCGTTCGGCCTATATGCGTGTTGCCTTCATAGTTGATGCCAATATAACATCCTATCTTATGATGGGTTCTGTTTCACCAGGTTTATACTTTACTCTACATGATCCCCACTTCTTGCCTCTTAAATCCATTTGCTAGAATATCATTGTTGAAAAGCCTGTTATGCTGACATAGAAGGTCATATGAAAAGTCTGATTTTTTGGACCTTTTTATTGATTGTTTGGATGAACGAGCTGTATTTTTTAATTATCTTTGATGTATATACTTGTAACTACTAACCAGCATCTGTAGTTAATCTTGGCATTCTTCTTTTATAACGCCTTTTTAATCTGTTGCAACTCCTTTTGAATTCCATCTCTACCTATATTTTTCAGACCGTTATCATTAGCATTCTTTAGGTGATTTTTGATTTTTTTTTCTACATTCTCCTCTCCCCCTCTTGCTTAGTCTTGAAATTTTTCGATGCAATTGTTCAGTAATGAATGTTCTTTAAGCTTCCAACATTTCTTAGCTAAATTACAATGCCTAATTTTTTGATGCAATTGTTCAGCAATGAATGTGTTGGTTTATTACAATACCTAAATCATTTTTCCGAGCCTTGTTTTTTGTAAGAACAATCTGACATTGATGCACTGAGTTTTTTTTTTTTTTTTTGAAATTCTAGAATTATTTAGAAGAGATTAGTAAATAAGCCGGATGAGCCTTGATATTACAGTCTGGCAGCATCTGAAGTAGTTTTATTACAGTATTGAGATAGCTTGACAAAATCTTTAGGATTTTGCTTGGGTTTGCTTTTTGATTTTTGTTTGAAAATAAAATTTAGCAGATAGTAAGGGGGAGGGTGCAACTTAATGGGGACCTCCAAACACGAGGCTTGGGAGATCAAAGGACATTATATGAGAAAATGTACAAAAAATATAACAAAGCTGCCCAATCGCTAATACATGTCCAAATGTAGACTCGGTTGAAGCAATCATCAGCTGAATACACATTGTTGAAGCAGTCATCAGCTGAATACACATTTTTGAAATAATCATCAGCTGAATACTCATTGTTGAAATAATCATCAGCTGAATACACCTTGAAATAGTCATCAGCTGAACAACAGAATATCTATAAAACTCTATCTCAAGTTGAGAGCAAAGAGAGACACTCCTAAGTTTTAATCCAAAAAATGTACCAAATGATTGTGTGAAACGCCCATGGCAACAAGGTTCTTACCTCCTTTTTGCCAAAGCTTTGAAACCTGAGCATTCATGTTTGAGACTATGCACAAGGTCCAAATTCTAAGATCAATTAATAACTATTAAGTCCAATCATAAATTTAAGTTTATGGGATTAGAACTTTTTTTTTATCAATTAATAAATCCGCGTGTGTTTTAGTTCTATGCCAAAGCAGTATAGTTGTTCTTTTTGTCTATTCATTTATGTGTTAGTTTGCTTATATCATTGATTTGTTTGATTCTATTTGCCTATAGTCTGAAGTAAACCATTCTTCTGGATGAACTTTGTCAGGTCTGAAATCTCATGCTGTTACGCTCTATGAAGCGGGTAAATTAGGTCATGCCAGCATTTCTGATCTTTGCAAGGATCTTAGCACTCTGGAAGGTGCAAAATTTGAGGGAGAACTGCAGGAATTTGCCAACCACGCATTCAGCCTGCGTTGTGTATTAGAATGTCTACAATCAGGCGGAGTTGCTTCTGATGTGAAAGTCGAGGAAGGACATGATAAGATGAATATGGCTACTCCAAGCAATGATGAACCAAGCTCTCTAACAGCTGAAATATCTTTGTCTGAAAAATTAGGAGACTCTGGGGTTACAGAAGCTGAAATAAATAATGATGATTTATTGAGTTTAGATTTGGAGAAGTCTGCCAAGGCTTCTGTTTCCTATGAAGTCGTTCCTAGTGATGGAACCAGTTCTATTACATTGGAAGGTGATGGCAATGACATACTGGATTCCAGTAATAATGAAAATCTCCAAAACAATGAGAAACTAATGGTTGAAGGGTCAGATGTTGGAACAGAAATGCTAAAGAGGAGAAAAAAATATCGTGTAGATATTCTCCGCTGTGAAAGCTTGGCTTCTCTTTCACCAGCAACCCTTGATCGTTTGTTTCTTCGTGACTATGATATAGTTGTGTCCATATTGCCTCTTCCTCATTCATCAGTTCTTCCTGGACCTGGAGGTCCTGTTCATTTTGGTCCTCCCTCGTATTCTTCTATGAGTCCTTGGATGAAATTGGTATTATATTCAACTGTAGAAAGTGGGCCTCTGTCAGTTGTTCTGATGAAAGGACAGTGTCTGCGCTTGCTTCCTGCTCCATTGGCTGGCTGTGAGAAAGCTCTCATATGGTCTTGGGATGGTTCCACAGTAGGAGGGTTAGGAGGGAAGCTTGAAGGAAATTTAGTGAAGGGAAGTATACTTTTGCATTGTTTAAATTCACTTCTTAAGCATTCGGCCGTGCTGGTGCTGCCTCTCAGTAAGTTTGATCTTGATAAATCTGGAAAATTGATTACTATGGATATCCCTTTGCCCTTAAAGAACGCCGATGGCTCAATTGCTCCTGTTGAAAAATTGTTAGGAATATCCGAAGAGGAAAGTTCAAAGCTGAAGTCTCTATTGAGCGATTTGGCAGACACGATGGAACTGTGGACAGTTGGATACATCCGCTTACTTAGATTATTTAATGATAGAGAGCCTGAGCAGTTTTCACATGAAGAAAAGTATGATTGGGTTCCGTTGAGTGTTGAGTTTGGGATGCCATTATTTAGCCCAACGTTGTGTAATGATATATGTAGAAGGGTGGTGTCATCTGAATTGCTTCAATCTGGATCATTTGGTGAACACCATCATGCAGTGCAAAGCTTAAGGAGAAAATTACACGACATTTCTTCAGAGTACCAAGCAACAGGGCCTGCTGCTAAGGTACTTTATCAGAAGGAACAAGTTAAGGAATCCTCACGACAGCTTATGAACTATGCTAGTGGAAGATGGAATCCACTTGTGGACCCTTCGTCTCCCATTTCAGGGGCATCAAGTGAGCATCAAAGGTTAAAACTTGCAAATCGACAACGATGCAGAACTGAAGTTTTAAGCTTTGATGGCAGTATTCTTAGGTTTGTATACTTCCAAACCCTCAATTCTTGAAGATTGCTGAATTTTCTTATCAGATAAATAAGTGAATTCCTTTAGCATGTTTCACAAACATGAATTAGGGGTTTCATCATAAATAATTGCCCATCTTTTATAATCTAATCTAGTGATGATTTTCTTATACATTCTAAATTTATAGAAGTATATAATTTGCGATTGCACTATGCTTTACTGAAGAGAATGTTTGAAGGTTTAATTGTTATGCATTGACAGTGTAAAAATATTTTACAGTATCATCCAATAGGAATAATATATCATTCTGCCATGTCATATAATTAGTTTAAAATTTTCAGTATGATTTGGCGGGATGCATGGTCGTCATTGATTGACAGTGTAAAATTTACACTGTCAGTGCATCACCCTTTTTCCATGTTTGAATATCTTATGTGTTTATATTTATGGTAGTGCTCATTTCCTATTCATTTGATGTTAGAATCCTAACTTTTAGCAAAAAAAAAAAAGACTAGAATAATGGTGTAAAACAGACTCAAGTGAATAAAGATAAAGATTTCAAATAGATGAAGTATTTCTTATTTCTGTATTGAGATTGAAATAAAAGATACACAAGGTTTACGATGAACAAGATAACCTTGCACACAAGGCTTCCACAAAGGAGCTCTCTTCTTTTGCCAGATAAACCTAAATGGTTGCCAAAAGGTTAGCGGCGTAGTGATGAAATCTATCCGTACCAGTGGTAACCAATTGAATTGCATGAAGGGAGTCTGAAAAATGTTAGTTTCTTCAAACCTGCATGCCAACGAAGTTGAATATCAATTTGAAGGGCCTTTATCTCGCCATGAAGCACATTAGATATTTCTACGCTACCATAAAAGAAAATTGGAGTGATCCCTCATGGTTCATAATTAAACCACCAAAGCCGGCTTTTCCTAGGTTTGTAAGAGCATTAAGAACCGTAGTCTTAGTCTCTCCATGTTGCCAGGAGATCTCCTGAGAAGGTCAAGGGACATGAGTTGAAGTCATAACATCAAAGGCATTATTATGGGTACAGATTCATGGTAATGAATCACAGCCTAAACATAGTGTAGTCATCTAATTTTTGTCAAACTTTGTCTAGCAACCCTAAGCTACTTTCTTTTCTCACTGATTTAATACTGAAAATCTAGAATCATTATGGGGTTTATATATGATGCATCAGCTTATATTTTTGCTAGGTCATTTGTTTTTGCTCAAAAATGTCATTTGTGTTGTACGATTCAAAAAATTGGTTTTCCAATTCAGGATTCGAAACTGGATTTGATAACTATGTGGATCCACTATCCAACTGTGTGGGATGCATTTCTGGTGTTTCATGTTCCTGTGAGACTGATTCCTCCACTGGTCCACCACCAGTATTTATAACTGTTTTCTTATGTGATCTCCGATTGGCATCCTTATTTTTAATTGGAGGTGGTTATAGTGATCAAAAGTTATATTGACAATATTTTTTAATACAACCTCAACATTATAATAAGAAACCTAGTATGGATCCTTTCCCTCCGTCTGTTATTATTTATAGTTTTGGTTTCTAATTATTCCAATTCTCAGAAACTATGTACTTTGGTGCATGCAGATCTTATGCCTTAGCTCCTGTTTACGAAGCTGCCACAAGGCCCATTGAAGAAGGCACTCAAGCCAACACGATAAAAGCTGAACCAGATGATAATGATAGCAAAGAAGTAATTCTTCCTGGAGTAAATCTTCTTTTTGATGGTTCTGAGTTGCACCCGTTTGACATAGGTGCCTGCCTCCAGGCACGTCAACCTATTTCCTTAATAGCAGAAGCAGCAGCTGCCTCGGCATCTTTAGTAATCAAATAGTTCTACAGTTGCTATAGACTACAGCATTGTGATATCTATACATGCATGGCAATGGTAGGGATTGCCAGGGCTAGTTTGTTTTCATCTTCAAGCTTGTTGGGTTCAGATTGAAGGTTAGTTTCATTTTTTGCTTGCATATATGTTACATGTTCTCTCACCATTTTAATGATTGTAAAATGCATTCAATGTTCAACCTTCCGAGTATGCCACAGATTTATCACTGTTGTTCTTGAGGCTTATTGGCCCTGGTTTTCTATTTGAAACAAGGATGAATGAAATGATGCCCAAATGGATATATGCCAAACTTGCTGCCTGAAATATTTTTCTTTTATTATGTAAGCAGTTTTTATCCATTCTTGTGTAATCTCCTGCTATAAAATACAATACAATCTTGTTTGTAAATCAGGTTTCATTTGTTTTGGGTTTCACTTGACTAGGAGATTCAAAACAGTTAGTTGTGAATTTCTTGTGAAAAGAGGAAATATGTAATCTTCGTTCAACAATTCTAGAGATAGGGTTCTTTGCTCCTGTGACATACTTGCAGCGGAATGCATATTAAGCAATCCTTAATTCATAGTTAAAGGAGAATATGACCATTTGGTTTATCATTATTGCGTTCCATGTTTAAAGATGTTAATTTCTTGTCTTTAATTTATGCTGTATCTTCGTTTATTGTTTATGCTTAATCTTCGTTTATTGTTTATGCTTTTTTATTCACATGATAATTTTAAATAATAATATTAAGCGTGGCATAAGCTATCAATTCACTCCAACAATAATGTAATAAGTGCTTCTAGACAATTTTGCTCTTCATATTTTGTGAGGTATATAAAATGGATGAATTTAATACAATAGATTTGGATGGTAATAAATGAATTGAAACAATGTATTAATCTACTAAGATCCACTAAAAATTAGTTTAAGAAATTAAATTCAATCTATCCACTAAACATAACACATTCTAGTGTATTCATTATCACTTTTTATTTAGAAATTTGACGTGTAATGAAATAAGTTGAAATCTTTCTTATATAGGAAAAGTTTTGGCTAAAAAATATTTTATAGGCAATTTTAAGAATTTAATTGAATAATCCTAGTTGATTATTGAAAAAACGAAACTCTAAAATAGTTATATGGTTTAATCAATTAAAAACTTTTCTAATCGATTAAGAGACTGTTTATCTTGCTCTAATTGATTAGACACTGTCTTTAATTGATTATGCAAATATAAATTTCTTTAATTGATTGGAAATAGTTAAATTTTTAAGAAGTTTTTATAAAATCGAAGAGTATTTGAAAAGATTTTTGTATGTACGTGACTGTCATAGTATTCAAGATTTATGCATGATCTTTTACAACGTAACTGATTACTTTTAAGATGCTAAATACAGGATCAAACGAGTTTTCATAATTTTACAATTTCAAATCTTTAAGATCTTCTGATTGATTCATCATCAGTTTAAGTAGAATTTTAAAAGAATTCTTGAATAGTATATGATTGATGAAGCTTAAGATATCTTTTAAATCACGTGTCTTTATCAGAATTTTTTACTTGGTAGTTGAAATCAACTTCTCTTATCACAAAGAATTCTCAATCATCTCAAAAGTCTGTTTGACTTATAAAGTTGTTATTTTCAAAATTGTTTTACTGATTGTCATTATCATAATCATCTAATAACCATGCTTAAAAACATATAAATCCACAAGATGATCCTTTGGATGTATTATCAATGTTATATTTAATTCAATATTTTGGAGCATCATAATTTTTTACTTGGTAGTTGAAATCAAAGAGAATTTTCAATCATCTCAAAAGTCTGTTTGACTTTTGAAGTTGTTATCTTCAAAATTGTTTTACCGGTTATCATTATCAAAATCAATTGATGATCATACTTAAAACTATATAAATCTACAAGATGATCCTTTGGATGTATTATCAATGTAATATTTAATTCCATATTTTGGAGGATCAATTTAGTTAACCTGTATGAATTTAGGAGCATTTGGAGCATGATAAATAACACTAAAAAATAATGTTAAATGTTGGCAATATTAAATCTACAGAGTTTCAATTTCCATTCATTATGGTAAGAAGATTATATAAGGTTCAATGGTCTCTCTGATGGAGCAATCACAAGCTCAAATGAAAAATTAATGGAGAAATTAGGTTAATTGAAGAAGATGAAATGATAAAATAATAGAGAGAGAGTAATTGAGAGTCAGAATTAAAATTGATATTAACCTCAAATGGGAGCACTGAAGGCTATTTATACAACAGGTACAAAATTGGGGAAAAACAAAACAACTTAAAAAATAAGTTGAAAACAAAAAACTTCCAGTGTAACTGGTTACCATATTTGGGGTAACCGGTTACACCCCGTTCAAGTAGCCAACCCACGCTTTTGTCTCAGCATGTAACCGGTTCCCACATATCCGGTAACCGGTTACCACAACTGAAATGTCCAAAATTCTATTTTCAACACATCACCTCATTTCAGTTGTTCCACGTTCAGATGCTCAAGTTCATCTTTAACCTCTTGAATACCTCATTTGTTACTCCCTTAGTCAATAAATTCGCCACTTGGTATTCGCTTCGACAATATTCCAATCTTAGTTTGCCTTCACTTACTAGCTCCCTCAAATAATAAAACCGCATCTCTATGTGCTTGCTTCTTCCATGTGCAATTGGATTCTTCGCAAGGTTTATTGCAGAAACATTATCAACAAGAAGTGTAGTAGCCTCACCTCATTGCTACCCAACTCCTTCAATAGATTCATGAGCCATATAGCTTGACACACACATAACGATGCCTCAATATACTCAGTCTCACAAGACGAGAGTGCTACCACCGGTTCCTTCTTCGAACACCAAGAGATTGGTGTCCTACCAAACATAAAGATGTATCCAGCCGTTGACTTTTTATCATCCTTATCGCCACACCAATTGGAATCGGTGAAATCAAGTAAATCGCATTTTCAACCCGTATCCGATGTGGGAAAGAGAATTCCGCAACCAAGAGTTCCTTTAACATATCTAAGGATCCTCTTAACCGCTGCCAAGTGAGACACCTTCGATTTCTGCATGAATATACTAGTAATACCAACACTAAATGGCAAGTTCGGTCGTGTATTGCACAAATACCACAACGATCCAATCAATCTCCTATATTGTGTTGGATCCACATCTTGCTCATCCTCACTCTTGGACAACTGTAACTTTGCTTCACATGGTGTAATGGCCGCATTACAATGCTCCATTTCACACCTCTTCAAAATCTCAAGAACATATCTCCTTTGATGCATGAACAATCCCATTTTTTACTTGTGGAACTATATGCCAAGGAAATACGTCATAATATAAAGGCCCGTCATCTCAAATTCATCCATAAGTTCACTCTTGAACTTAGAGACACTCTTCTCACAGCTGCCGGTAATCAATAGATCATCAACACGCAAGCAAAGAATGATCACGCCATCATTCAGTTCCGTCTTCACATATACTCCGTGTTCGGACACACACCGCTTGAAACCAATATTAATAAAAAAGCCATCAATGCGTTTGTTCCAAGATTTTGGAGCTTGTTTCAAACCATATAATGCTTTATCCAATTTGTAGAACTTTATCTCTTGATTCTTTACTACAAATTTGGGGGGCTGCTTAACATAAACCTCTTCATCAAGTGGATCGTTCAAAAACACATATTTGACGTCCATTTGATATATCACTCAATCGTTGTTATTCGCAATGCCAATAACTAATCAAATGGTTTCTAGCCTCGCCATAGGTGCAAACACCTCCTTAAAGACTATACCTTCATGTTGCAAAAATCCCTTTGCTACCAATCGAGCCTTATGCTTAATCACCTCGTCTTTAAGATTTTCTTTCATTTTTAGACCCATTGAACACCAATTGACTTCTTTCCAAGTGGTAAATCAACCAAATCTCAAGTACCATTTTTTTCAATAGATTCCAGCTCCTCCTTCATTGCACAAATCCATTTTGGATCGCTTAGAGCCTCTTCCGTGTTCATTGGTTTGGATTTGACCATAAGTGCAAAGTGAACGAAATCACCATCATCCTTGATTTCGTTGTCTCAATATCTCTCACATTCTTGGAGTCTTTGAGGTAACACCTTTTGCCTTGTTTATTATCTAACATTCTCTTTATTCCCAACCTCAATAGGTGGCTGCACGACTGTTCCGAAACTTTCAGGATCAGAAAAAACAAAGCTGTTGGATTTCTGTTTTTCCTGCATGTAACCAGTTACACCAGAATGAACTGGCTAGGTGTAACCTTTATATGTGTTTATGGTGGATTTATGGTGTATTTAGGATTTAAGAGATTCTTAGTTGAATTGGGGAAACTAAGGGAATCGATTATAAAACTCTGAGATTGTGGTTTATGGTATGAATCACTGAATATTAACATGAGAAAGGAAACCTTAGGCCTTCGTGGCCAAAACCTTGGATTGTGATATGTTTGACCCTGTAGGAATAGGAATATTCAAATGTGAGTAACTCTGATGCACTCAGAGCAATTGAAGGAAAATAGTGTTTTAGGTAGTGCAAATGTTGCTAGATTGGCCAAATAAACCATAGATTTGGTGCCGTTATCGCCGTATGACATTGCAGATGTTTTAATGATGTTTTGGGGGCATTGGGTAAGTAAATCGCATGAGTATTTGGACATGAATCAGTTCTGGTTGTAACAGGTTTTGTTGTCATCGCTCTGTTCGCCTAGCGAGCAAGTTAGTGAAGGTTCGCTACAGGCTCGCCTAGCGATCAAGCCAGCGAAGGCTCGATACCAACTCGCCTAGCGAGCGAGCCAGCGAACGTAGCAGAGTTCACAAATATTGATCGTGTGCAGCGATGCCGTGATGTTTGATTTTGGGATTCCTGTGATGAGTTACTATGAGTATGACAGTGAGGTTGCATGAGTAATAAGTGATAGTATGAGAATTACCGCGAGTGTAATTACAATGAATTAATATGAGGCAATG